TAAGTAAAATCAGAAAAGCTGAAGCTGCCCCAAACAAAGTCTAAGATAAAACAAAATTATTCATAAATTAGAAAAAGAAAGTTTTTATAATTTACATAAATTTTTATATACAACTTTTCTCAAATCTATAAAGGATTTGACATATGAAGTACAAATTCAAAACTTTGAAAATAGTTCTAAAAAATGTTATCAACTATGCAAGTTGTTATTATTATACAAAAACAAATAGCTTCCTATAACTCATCCTTAGCTCTCTTTCCCATGCAAACTTTTTTCTACTTTGTTCAACCTCTTTAATTCCATTTATGTGCATTACCATGAATTTTTCTAAAGAGCTTTATGCATCAAGAGAGCCATTCACATACATAAAACAAAATTAAGGAAAAATAACTCACATAATCTCAATTTTCTACTAAGAGGATTCAAACAAATTTACCACAAAAATTGAGAGAGAGGTGAGAACTTTTATGGATGAAAACTATATATTTATATCAAAATATTATGATGATCAAAAAGCGATGAGAATGATTGATCAGAAGATTAAGACTTCGTTTGACATAGCTTTCATATTACTTTTTAAAACAATTTTTTAGTATAAAAATTACTAGTAAACTGCTTTAAGAAGCAGAAAGAAAGCCGTCCTAAAAGTTTGAGACAAGTTTAGGCCAATATTTTTTACCTATTTTTAAGAGGTCTTTGTCCAAAAAGTGATTTTACAAAGCAGTAAGAATTAAGAAAGCTGTCCTAAACTAAGCCTAATTCTTCATATATTACATTAATCTCAAATAAATTCAATAGTTTTGAGATTCATTCTCTTTTAAAATTTGATCAGAGCATCTTTGTGATTCAATAACCATTTTAGTAGTCGAAGTAGTCTTCAGACTCTGGAATGCTTTGCAGAGAAGGCGTCCATGCTATTCTCTCACTTTCTTCATCTTCTTCCAATAGATCTAGCTCTGCGTTTCCGCCATGGCTGCTTGTGCTTCCAAGCATGGATAGTAACTCTTTAAGCTCCTTCTTCGTAAGCACCATCTTCACTCTCATGACTCCTTCCTTCTGCTCTGTCTCCTCTTGATCAACAATGTTGGCTGGAAGAACTCTGCTACTGCTGCTTCTGTTTTTTGCTCTATAAAGGCTTCTCAACTTAGACTTCTTCTTCAAGATCTGGAGATTCTTCAGTGAGTTCTGCTCTGCTGCTTTGGTGTCTTCATGGCTGTGAGCTTTGCTGCTCTTTCTTTGTTGAGAGATGCAAGCTATGGAGTTTCCCATGAAGAGAGAGAGAGAGAGAGAGAGAGAGAGAGAGAGAGAGAGAGAGAGAGATTATGAAAATGTTATGGAGATAGTGAGATACACATGAAGAGAAATTATATATAGATATTTCGCACGTGCCCAAAAACATCCCAACTGCGCTCAAATTCGTAATCTCCAACATCAAGAGCATTGTTTATACACCTGTCTCCGCAGAAAACTATTCAGTTTGGATATCTCAGATTTTGAAACTCTTTACTGCCAACAGATTTGCTTCTTTTGTTCTTCTGCCGGTCTCTGTTCCAGATCGCTGTATCGATCATCCAGATCGCAGCAAAGAACCCAACTCCAAATATCAAGAATGGGTTCTCATTGATCAAATTCTGGCTGCGGCGTTGTGCTCTACGCTCTCACCGGCGATCCGACCATATGTAATCAATCTTGAGTAGAATGAAGTTGTATGTTGAAGTCGAGCAGTAGTCTTGTACTCTTGTTAGCCATATGATATCGGTAAGAGCTAGTGCCAGAGCCCTGTATTCAGCTTCTGTTGACGATCGGGCAATTGTATGTTGTTTCTTGACTGTCCAAGAAATAAGAGTTTTGCCTAGGAATGTACAGTGACCTGATGTTAATTTTCTGGTATCCTTGTCTCCTGTCCAATCTGCATCCGAAAAAGAGTTGAGTTCCAATTTACCTAGTAAGATGGGAATACCGAATGATAAAGTATCATATATGTATCTTAATAAGCGGTAAAGTAGAAATGTTGTGAGGAAGGAGTATGCATGTTTTGACACAATAGATTGACCGCATATGCTATATCTGGCCTGATTAATGTAAGATATTGCAATGACCCTGTGATTTGTCTGTAAGCTTTTGGATCGGTGAGCAATTCAGTCATAGGGAGAGAGTCAGGTAATTTTGTGCACAGAGGATCGGATAGAGGTTTCGGATAGAAAACTATAAAAAAATCGTTCCAAATGAAGTCAAACTCTCAACGTTGTTGTTGAATATATAAAACTTTATAAGCTTAATATAATATTATGTACAAATGGATCAGATGGAATGAATTCAATCATGACATCATGTGATGGTGATTAAGCATTCAGTTGGATAAAAATTTTCAAAGAATTAGAGCACAGAGATACGTAAAAAGCTTACCTTCAAACATTGAATTCAATGGAGGTACTATTCTTTCACGTACGGCTCCCTACACAGTTATATATCTTTCATAGACTTTATTTGGGAATTTTATTTAATTTATTTACTTTTATAAAATTTTTAAATATTCAAATATAAATTAAATATTATAATTCTTCTCTAATATAATTTTTTTACTTTAATTACATAAATCTTTTATAAAAATAAAATTTGGAGTTTTTATAATATAAAAAAGGTGAAATTTGTAATTTAAAAAAAAATAATGTGAAGATGAAGAGATAAAAGTAGTCTCACCCCTCATGAGTGAGAGAGAGAGAAGAGAGAGAGAGAGAGAGAGCAAAGAGGGAGAGCTAGGCCTAGTGGAGGAGGTTGCCACCTATAAAAAATTAACTCATACAAGATTTTTTTTTAGGGGGGCAAGTGCCCCCCTAAGCCCTCCCTTAAATCCGCCCATGCATAAATTAGAGCTTGAAGTTGTGGCTTAATAAGTTCGATTCATGAACTCGTTGATGAGTTGAGTTCGAGCTGGCTGACTCATCTACGCCTCTAATGTTTATTATGAGGTTTTATTTAGTTTTATGAGGTTTAAATGATATTATTTATTGAGCTTGTTGATGATCTCGTTCGTGAGCTATAAATGATATTGTTTATGATTATAAATGAATTGAGTTCTTAGGTGTTCAATCTTTCTTCGTTAACTTTAAAAACTACTATTTTGATATAATTCTTTGTCAAATTTTCAAACTCTCAACATCTGATTTCCCCTCATCTTTATCAGAGAGTGAGTTTTTTTTCGCTCGCATTTAGGGTATTATAAAAATGGAGAAAATACTTTTGAAAAGGTTAATTTGTAGCCAATAAAATGTAGCTGCAAAAATTGGTAGCAATATCCCTCCATTTTACATAGATCAATTTCTCTCTCTTATAGCATTTTGAAATGAACAAATCATGAAATGATAGCTTTTTAAAGTATAATAACTTCAACACATTTTAGATCTTTTATGATAGATTGCATAATAACAAATATTTTTGAGGCAAAGGCAAATAAGGGTTCATTTGGGATAGCTTTCTTATTGCATTATTTAGAATCTAAAATAAAAAATTTTATTTCAAGAAAATTTTATTTTTAAAAAATAGCTTTAGAAAGTACTAAAAAGGTTATCCTGAACAAAGCTTCTATCTGCTTTCTAAAATAGCTTTTATTACATTTTTTTTGAAATAAAAATTCTGTACTAAAAACTGCTTTAAAAGCAACAAAAAGCAGTTCCAAACAAAATCTAAGGCTTCGTTTGGGACGGCTTTTTTATTGCTTTCTAAAACGGAGTTTTAATACAAAAATAAAAAAAAAAATTGTACTAAAACTCAATTTTAGAAAGCAGTAAAAAAGCCGTCCCAAACGAAGCCTAAATCTCTAACTTAAGTACACAAATCAACGTGTTTAGAACTATAATTTTTTTTTTATAAATAAATACATCATTATTAAAAGACATTTAGTTTGATTTTAATGTCATTAGGAATTTTGAATATGCATGTGGTTGCAAATTTTGTGTGGAACTGGTCTACTAATTTCTGAGACCTTTATTTTGTCCATTTTCACAACAGCTTAGTCTTCCTATTTAAGAAGAAAATCATTACAATTAGCGTAGTTGGACCACGTAAGAGCCATGCAATACGGTCCACGTAGACCAGCAAATTCAATAGGCAGAAAAAAAACCAGCCAACGGATGGTTTAAAGGAATTAATATGAAATTGTCTTAAAGAATTTGTATAGTTATTACACAATTAATGAATAATTAAATTATCACTAAAATTGATAAAAACTTAGGATTCATTAGGAACAATTTTTTTCTTGCTTTCTAAAGCAATTTTTTTAGTGCAAAAATTTCTTGTACAAAAATTTTGCTTTAGAAAGCAATAAAGAAGTTGTCCCAAACAAAGCCATAGTTTACATATAACTTTTATATTTTAAATCATCATCAATACAATCATCTTGAATTCAATGATTATATAAGGCTTTGTTTAGTACAGCTTTCTTAATGTTTTGCTTTTCAGACCGCAATCATAATTTCTGTTTGACTGTTGTTTTAAAAAAAATAAATAAAGGATTTACATACATATCACTTTATTTCATACTATTTACATATCTAACATCCAAAACTTTAATATTACATTCTTATCAATCATATAAAATTTTAATATCAAATATATTACTTATATATTTCATTCTTACCACCCATATCACCTTATAAACTTTAATATTTCATTACATGAATACATATTTGTTCTATGGGTGGTGGACATATAATATTTAAGTTTTAGGTATTAGATATGTAAATAGCAGGACATAAAGTGGTATGTACGTAAATCCCTCAAAATTGTGTACAAGCTACTTTATACAGCAGTTTCAACTTTCAAAAAATTACTTTCTCTACAAAATTTTAGCAAAGCAATATAAAAGCCGTCCCAAACAAAACCTAAAATTATAAATTCAATCTCTACACATGTATATTAATATTATCCTCTTAAATTTATTTTTATTCAAAACTACAATGAAAATGATACCAATGCTTTCAACTATACAGAATTAAAATCCAAATTCATAAAACTAATATCTTAAATTTATACCTGCACTAATGGCATCACTTTCTTGCCTCCTGCTTAATGAAACTGTGTAATCATCTTGAGTACAAGCATGCCCCCATTGGTAAAATACTGCTTCATTCTATTTTGTTTGGAACAGCTTTGTTACTGCTTTAAACACTCAACATCCGAAGTCTCCTCATCTTTGACTTCATTTGGGATGATTTTTTTATTGTTGTCCCTATTGTGGGTTAGAATATACACGGCGATAGAGTTATAATTCTATTTCTTAGCATTGCACGGATATCCAGCTCACACATAGAGAACACAATATTTTTTACGAGGAAAACTTGGAAAGGGAAAAAACCACGGGGTCTAGCCCAGTTGAAAATGATTCCACTAAAATTTGAGGAAAGTACAATGGTCTGACTCGTCCTTGAAGATGGCCAGATTACAAATATCAACTGAGAGTTTTGCAAAAGTCCAACGTCACTCTACTGTCAGGTGGTGGTCCGGCAGCACTCTGGTGTCAGGCGGTGGATTGTCAGTGGCACTTCAGTGTCAGGGGTACTTCAGCTTCGGGTGACACTTTGGCGTCCCTTGATGGTCCAATGGTGGTGCGGCAGCACTCTGGCGTCCCTTGGTGGCCCAGCGGTGGTGCGGCAGCACTCCGGCGGTGGTCGGCGATGTTCGAGGAGGAGCTAGGCGGCTGCAGCTTTCTTCATTCTCTTCCTTCTTCTCTCTTGGCTTCATCTCCCTTTTCAAGAGGAAATGAGATTTTATTTATAGAATTCTTGAGTGGCATGGCTTATAAATAAATGAAAGATCATGGGTAAATTTGGAGTGATTTGGATGGACAACCGATCTTGATTCTTACGATCATGCACCATTCATTGGACCTTTGACTGTCTTAATGATATCAGAATTTGATGATCCTGAGCTCGTTGGATTCGTCTCATCAAGCCGTTCAATTCGATTATAAGCATGTCACAATTGAAGACCGTTTGGTAACCCAAATTGTGGTTAGATCCTTCCAAAAGTGCTTCGAATATTTGATTTGGACTCATTTGGGCTCGGATTGGGTCGATTTTGGTGTCGTTGGGTTCGTGTTTCCAAGACGCTCAATTCGACTATAAGTTTGCTGAAATCAAAATTCAAACGGTCTCCGATTTAATTTTTGAAGTTTCCACCTTGATTTTGCCTCGAGATTCGTACTCGATCAAGGTAATTTTCTGATGATGTATTAGTCCCAAACGAAGGCTTTATCAGAGAGTGAGTTTTTATCGCTTGCATTTAGGGTATTGTAAGAATGGCGATAATATTTCTGAAAAGGTTAATTTGTAGCCGATAAAATGTAGCTGCAAAAATTGATAACAGTATCCCTCCATTTTTACATAGATCAATTCCTCTCTCTCTCTCTCTCTCTCTCTCTCTCTCTTATATGCATTTTGAAATGAACAACTCATGAAATGATAGTTTTTTTAGGTATAATAACTTCAATATAGTTTAGATCTTTTATGATAGATTGCATAATAAAAAATATTTTTGAGGCAAAGACAACTAAGGGTTCATTTGAAGCAACTTTCTTATTGATTTCTAAAATAATAATCTAATATAAAAAAAATTTAGTTAAAAAAGATTTATTTTAAAAAACAGCTTTAAAAAGCACTAAAAAAGTTATCTCAAACAAAACCTCTAACTGCTTTATAAAACAGTTTTTTAGTACAAAACAACAAAAAAGCCGTTCCAAATGAAGCCTAAGGCTTCGTTTGGGACGGCTTTTTTGACGCTTTTTAAAACGGAGTTTTAGTATAAAAATAAAAAAATTTGTACTAAAACGGAGTACAAAATTTTTTATTTTTGTATTAAAACTCCGTTTTATAAATCAATAAAAAAGCCGTCCCAAATGAAGCCTAAAGCTTTGTTTGGAACAACTTTTTAGTACAATTTTTTGTCTAAAAAGTTATACTAAAAAGCAGTAAGAAAGCCACCTCAAACAAAACTTAGAACTCTAACTTATACACACAAATCAATGTGATTAGAACTATAAATTTTTTTATAAATAAATACATATTATTAAAAGACATTTAGTATGATTTTAATGTCATTAGGAATTTTGAATATGTGGTTGCAAATTTTGTTTGGACCGGGTCTACTAATTTCTGAGACCTGTATTTTGTCCATTTTAACAACAGCTTAGTCTTCCTCTTTGAGAAGAAAAGCATACAATAAGCATGGCTAGACCACGTAAGAGCCATGCAATACGGTCCACGTAGACCAGCGAATTCAAGAGGCAGAAAAAATAGAATTAAAAATGAAATTGTCTTAAAGAATTTGCATACTTATTACACAATTAATGAATAATTAAATTATCACTAAAATTGATTAAAAAAAACTTAAACTTCCTATTTTCTAAAGCAATTTTTTAATATAAAAATTTCTTGAACTCAAAATTTTTGTACTAAAAACTGCTTTAAAAAATAATAAAAAAACTATCTCAAACAAAGCCTTAATTTACATGTAACTTTTATATTATAAATCATTATCAATACCATCATCTTGAATTAAACAATGATATAAAACTTCGTTCGATACAACTTTCTTACTGCTTTACTTTTCAAACCGCAACCATAATTTCTATTTGACCACCGCTACTAAAAATATTTTGTACAAGCTACTTTTTACAGCAGCTTCAAAAAAATTATTTTCTCTACATCAAATTTACAGAGCAATAAGAAAGCTATTCCAAACAAAACCAAAATTTATAAATTCAATTTCTATACATACATATTAATATTATCCTCTTAATTTTTTTTTATTCAAAACTACAATGAAAATGATACCAATGCTTTCAACCATACAATTAAAATCCAAATTCATAAGACTATTATCAACCTGCAGTAATAGCATCACTTTCTTGCCTCCTGCTTAATGAAACTGTGTAATCATCTTCAGTACAGGCATTCCTCCATTAGTAAAATACAGCTTCATTCCAAGGCTTCATTTGGAACAACTTTCTTTATGCTTCTTAAAGCGGCTTTCTAGTATAAAAATTTTGTACTAAAAAGCTGCTTTATGAAGCAGAAAGAAAGCCGTCCTAAACGAAGCCTAAATCTCAGTTATCTATCACCAAAAACTGCATTGATATTTTCTTCTTAGATTCTCACAGATAAAAGTCTTGTTTTGGCTTCGTTTGGGACGACTTTTATTCCGCTTCTTAAAACAACTTTTTAGTATAAAATTTTAATTTTTTATTAAAAAACTGCTTTACGAAGCAATAAGAAAACCGTCACAAACAAGCCTTAGTCTACGTATATAAAAGGAGTAATAACTGAGCAGACAACGCAAAAAATTCTTCTGATATGCATCAAAATAGGCAGATGGATCTCGCTTTTGTCGACCGTTAGAGTTTGGATTGTTCCATTTCAGGTCAAGAAGCTGGTATGGACTGAGGTTTAGTGGCTTTACTTATGGGCCAAAGTTGCCAGTTCTGCTGGTTGTTGTTATGATCAAACTTTGAGATTTTCAAGACCTTGCTATGGTACTTGAAGAGTGTTGAGCGGTGTCCGATGCTGATATATGTTATCCCTGCAGCTTCAATTTGCTTGTAGAGATGAGCCTGCAAGATCATGTGAGGTTTGTAAGAGTAGAAACACCACAGCACATGGGATGATAACGTAGAGAGAGATTTTCATGTAATGTAATGCTTTGCACATTCATCAAATGATCATATATTAAATCATTTTAATATTGTTTGTTTTATTAAAAGAAACACCTAATCTTCAGATCATTAAGGTTTCATTTGAGAAGATTTTTTACTGTTTTTAAAACAGCTTCCTAGTACAAAAATTTTCCATTCAAGAAATTTTTATACTAAAAAATCACTTTATAAAACAATAAAAAAGCTATTTCAAACGAAACCGAAGTGTCTAAGATCAGCAACTCCAAATTGCACCACCATCGATCAAGATCATCATTATCATTGTCATAATTGTCCTCATTACTATTAACCTTGTCTCAATAATTTAAGCTTTACGAAATTTCATTCTCCATTTATTTCAAAAGAGTTTATGTTGCATAAGATGTTAAATATATTTTACCTAAATCCTTTCACAACTTTTATCCATTTTGGTTCTCCCTTTTCTTTTATAAACCTTCTATATTAATTTTATTTACGATTTTGTCACGCATTTTCAACTCATTTTAATAATTTAGGGCCAGCTTTACATTTCTCATTCTCCATTAGAGTTGAAGCTACATGAGATGTGAAGCATATTTTATCTAAATATTTTCACAAATTTAACATTATTTCAGCTTTGGTCCTCACTTTTCTTAATAATCCCTCTACATTAATTTTATATATAATTTTATCATGCATATTCTACTATCATTGTAAATGTTCAAATCACTCAAATCTAATTTCCACTTGATCAAATACTTTAAATGATCATGAATCGAAATTTCAGCTTGATGATTCACAAGATATTCATGTTTATAATATGGAAAAAAAAACATGTTCATTATTTATGGAAGACAACAGCCCTTTGTAAACAAAGGTTTTATCTGGGACAGCTTTTTTATAGCTTCTAAAAACAGCTTTTTAGTTTAAAAATTTTTATTATAAAGCTGCTTCTAAGAAATCCATCCCAAACGAAGCTAAAATCTATGGGCTAGTGTGGCAGAGTACCATTTTGCATACCTCATTGGCTTCATCTAAGGCACTTGTGGACTCATCCAATAAAACAAAATTTGGCTTTGCAAGCAACAACCGAGCAAATGCAAGACGCTGCTGCTCGCCGAGTGAGAGTACACTAGACCACTCATACAAGCAATCCAAGCCTTGGAAACGAGACAAAATGTCACTGAGGGAAACGACATTGAGCACATGGACGAGATCTTCAGTAGAAGGCATGTCGTTGTTCTGAGATGAGCTGGATGCTTCAGAAAAATAAATAATAATAAGCTTAGAAGCGAGGAATAGTAATAAGATTAAATGTAGCTATTTGTGCAACACCGGCCACTCTTCAGAACCCATATTAGCAAGGAGACTCGTGCATTGAACAGTGAATACACCCTTTTATATTCTCCACCGATTTTTATTTTTTGTTGCATGAGTCAACTCTATTCAATGTAATTTTTTTCATGCAACATTTAACCATTTTTAGTAAGTTACTCTCCATCTTAATCCCTTTCACCTGACCCAGTTAAATAGCTCATATTTCCAATCCACTGTAAATGACCAAGCCATCTAAGATATATTTTAAATTGTTTATCTTCAAAAAATATTATTCTCACGTATCTCTAAAATAATCATTGTTAGTTCTGTGTGGAATCTGATTGTATTGATCAATAGGGTTGTATTGTTGCCTCGGAACTCGGTTCAATTTGTCGTGCTCGCTGGAGGGGTCATCCCCCAGCTTGAGTTCGGGTGATTTGCAACCGAATTTTTTTCCCCCTACAATTCCTCGGTGCTGTTTACCCGAGCTCCCGACGCCTTGCACTCGAGTGTCAGGCGCCATGCACCCAAGTGCCCGACGCAGTGCACCTAAGCGCTCCTGTGCTGCAAAGTTTGCTGGGAAAAATGACATAGAGCATAGCGCTGCAACATAGCTATAGGTCGCTCGTTGCTTCTTGCGAGCGAGTTGTTGTGCAATACAAGCTTTACTGAATTTTTTTGGGGGTTGTCAGTGGACATTCATAAATCACCAGTCTAACTTGTAGGCAGATTGTTGTGTGCATGATCAATCTCCTACAGCAGCTCGTAGATACTTGTATTTATCGCAGGTTCATTGCTTTATGCATGTAAGAAGTGTGTCGCGCTCGCTACAATCTTATTACTCATGCTTGTAGAGGACCCATCATACTTGCGATACTTTCACTATATTTGCTTGTAGATATGATCATTGTATGCATTACAGGCTCTCTGTTGTTGCTTGCGGGTAAGCTGCATTGAATGCAAATCTTTTAACGTTGTTCGTAAGTGTTTATATTTGCTATAGCTCTACTGTATTTGCTTGTTGATAACATGTTGTATGCATGACAAGACTCCTACAACGGCTTGTAGGTGCTTGCATTCATTGTAGATTTTCTACACATGCTCATAGAGGATTGAGGCGTTTGCTTGACACTGAATTGTTGTTGATTGTACGAATGTCCTGACATTTATTGCACATTATATGTATATGTCAACAGGGAGTATTATCATTTGCAAGCAGGTTTAGTGTGTTCAATTGTATTTTTAATGTGGACTTCCGGCGAATTGCACTTTGTGCAATATTTTCTAACATTGGTTGTGAACGATGCTAATGTGAGTGCTTTGAACTCTCTGTCATTGCTTGTAAGTATCTGCGCTCATTGTAATTTGTTGCATTGTCCTGTAGATGATGTGTTGCATGCATCATAATTCTCTCATACGTGTCGGCAGGGAATCAATCACATTCATTGTGTATTGATTGCAAGCATGTTGTTGTTATTCGTGGGTGCATCATATTATTCATTGAATGTCTAATGTCAGCATTTGTAATTAGGCATTCATACCCCCTGCAATTTCATTAATCGTCAGTCTCTTTTTTATTTATTGATGTTCATTGCACATTAATTTTTAGTACTTGTAAGAGACTGACATGTTCTCTTGCATGTTAATTATGTTTGAATTTTTTTTATCATGAATCTTCTGCTTGTTTGTTGATGTTCATTTGAGTGATCAATATTGTTACTCGGCCTAAGATATTTTCATTTTGATCACACATTTATCAGTTTTAAAGTCTAGTTACAAGCATTTTAGTTTAAGTGTTGTTCCTTTGCATTTTTTTTAAGTCAACTCCTCTTGTTTGCTGAGAATTTCGGCAGTCGGCCTCCCGACGTCAACCTAGTTTAGGGAATTTTTGGGAAGCTGGACCTTCCCATCAGGCTACAAAGTGTGTGTATGATAGGTGTTGAGTGACGCCGCGGCCGAGGTTTTCAATCCCACCATGCTATAAAGAGTGTATATGGGTCTTCAAGATACTTGTGCAAAGAATTTGCAGTTTTTATATGCAAGCATAGAAGCATGTGCATAGGTACTTTAGGATAGATTTGATGATTTTTTATATTTTAATTAATAATAATATTATGATTATTATTATATATTCTTTTCTTTTAAAATAACAAAAAAATGAGGAAATATCTCACTTTAGCCTCAATTTTCGCCAAGTTATCTCGAGATTCATGCTGATTTTCCCGCACGAATTTTTTGGATGAAATTATAGTCATCCATAGGTGACTCAGACGTTCTAAATGCAACGACGAAGTCCGTTTTTCAATTGGACGTCATTTGGGCAGTGTTGCGCGTCATTTTCGGACATCGTTCGTCAATTTCCACCACTTTCGCTCGGTTCGAGCGATTGTGAATGGCTCGCTCTTGGCAAATTCGACGCTCTGATCACAATGACACAGTTTGATTGGTGATCGGAGGTCGTTTGATCATTTAGTTGATGCGTTGCACCCGTCGACCGTCACTTAAGTTGTTGAATTTGCCTCTTTTGTGCGTATTTTAGTGTATTGATCAACATGCATCTATTTGGGAAAAACTCTTCTCTCTTGGTGTGTAAGAAAACACACTACAGTTGCTTGCTCTTCTACCGAAACTGAATACTGTTCACTTGCCTCAGCTACAACCGACATCATTTGGTTACAACGGGTTTGCAATAATTGTTTCTATTAAAGTAGACACCATTCCACTTTTTTTGTGACAACATCTAGGCAATGCCAATAGCAACTAATCCCGTTTTTCACGCTCGCACAAAACACATTAAAATAGGCCATCACTTTATCCGTAAAAACATCAACAACAAAAATATAAATGTTCGACACATCTCCACCAAAGATCAACTCGTCAACATTTTCACGAAAACTTTAACTACTTCTCAATTCAACTTCTTACGCGACAAGTTGACGGTGTGCCCCCATCAACTTGAGGGGAGATGATAAAGCAGGTTACACAACTTCAGCTCCACCTTTTTCTACTCCTCTGCACCCATTTTTCAGAAGAATATGGAATCACTTCTTCAGCTGCTATATAAGAGCCCTTTTGCTAAGAGCATCTTTTAAGGACAATTTTGCACTTATACTATATCTCTCTCTCACCTTCATAAATGCATTGAACTGTTCACCAAGTTAATCCAGACAAATATATTTATAGCTGCTGTTCTACTCTCTTTTCCTTCCTAGTCTGCTCTGTTTTCTTCATTATGCAGGTTTGTGTATCGAGGCTATCACCAACAGCAGATTTCAACAATATCCACTTCAAAACAATTTGAGTAACTTTCACTATTGAAGGTTGTTATTTGTATTGTGTTGTAACAATGGGAAACCAAAGATAAACTACTTGTGTACCCAATTTGGATAAACTTATGAATAAAAGGTCTAGTAAACCCCACTGGATGCTTCGTGTATCCTACTTCCCTAAATGATATAATAGGCTGAAAGTTGGCCGCACCAGAGGATCCTGAGTTGCTGGGGTAAGGGAAAAGATTGTTTTCCCTTCATTTTAGATTCAACTCATAATACTTGCTTCAATTTAAAGAATTAAAAAATCAAGAAAGAACCAAAATATCACCATGCAATAAGATATAGGATAAAGGCCAACATACCAGCAATCCCAGAGTTAGTTGAAACTGGAAGTGAATTCTCACTCCATGTTGGATAGAGTAGCTGCTGGCGAAGTGTTCCCAAGGCCATATATGGCCTCTGCGGAAGGAAAAACACTTGGCCAGCTCTTCTATACTTCTTGTTTTGAAGATCATCATCTTTTGATGATTGTTGTGGTGAAGAATTTGTGCCTGATGAGAGAGATGTTTCACAACGAGTAGAATCTTTCCCATAAAATGTGATGTTCCCTTGACCACTAGTCCAGAGGCCAGCCAGAGCTCTTAAGAATGACGTTTTGCCACTTCCACTTGGTCCCGTAATCTATTAAATAAATAAATAAAAGGGAGATTTACATATATACCACCCTATATTACTCTATTTACATATTTAACAAATAAAACTTTAATATTACATACATATCATCCATAGTTCATTTTCATATCAAATATGAGTGATAGAAATGAAATATATGAATGGTAGGAAAGAAATATGAGTGGTATATTTGGTATTAAAATAATATAGGATGATATGTATGTAATATTAAAATTTTGCGTGTTAGACATATAAAATGATCCTTAAATCTATTTGTATGAAGCAAATCAAAATTACCAGAGAAAGACGCATACCAGTAGGTGATCCCCTTCATTGATTACGAAAGACAAGCCTTTAATAAGGATTGTTCCACTTCTTGGCGTTTGTAATGTCAAATTATAAACCTCCAGTAATTTTTGACAGTGAGACTGAGGTATTGAACCATTACAATCAGAGGAAGATTGAACACAAAGGTCAGTATGGTGAATGATAATCTCTTCAGAATCATCAGATTTCAAATCATTTGAGAAAGGTTCTACTGCGAGGGGCTCGCTCATAGGCAAATTCGACGCTCTGATCCCAACGACACAGTTTGTTTGGCGATCGGAGGTCATTTGATCATTTAGGTGATGTGTCACACCCCTCGACCATCACTTAAGTTGTTGAAATAGCCTATTTTGCACGTATTTCAATGTATTGGTCAACATGCATCTATTTGGGAAAAACTCTTCTCTCTTGATGTGTAAGAAAACACACTTCATTTGCTCGCTCTTCTACCGAAATTGAATACCGTTCACTTGCCGCAGCTACAACCGATGTCATTTGGTTACGACGACTTTGCAATGATTTTTCAATTAAAGTAGACACCATTCCACTTGTTTGTGACAACATCTCGGCAATGTCAATAGCAACTAATCCCGTTTTTCACGCTCGCACAAAACACATCGAAATAGATCATCACTTTATCCGTGAAAACATCAACAACAAAAATATAGATGTTCAACACATCTCCACCAAAGATCAACTCGTGGACAATTTCACGAAGCTTTACCTACTTCTCGATTCAACTTCTTACGCGACAAGTTGATGGTGTGAGCCCCCATCAACTTGAAGGGAGATGATAAAGCAGGTTACACAACTTCAGCTCCACCTTTCCACTCCTCTTCATAATTCCTCTGCACCCTTTTTCAGAAGAATATGGAATCACTTCTTCAGCTGCTATATCAGAGCCGTTTTGCTAAGAGCATCTTTTAAGGACATATGTAATTATACTATATCTATCTCTCACCTTTATAAATGCATTGTACTGTTCACCAAGTTAATCCAGACAAATATATTGACAGTTGCTGTTCTACTCTCTTTTCCTTCTTCTAGTCTGCTCTGTTTTCTTCATTATGCAGGTTTGTGTATCGAGGCTTCACCAACAGCAAATTTCAACAATATTCACTTCAAAACAATTTGAGTAACTTTCACTCTTGAAGTTGTTATCTGTATTGTGTTGTAACAATGGGAAACCAAAGATAAACTACTTGTGTACCCAATTTGGATAAACTTATGAATAAAAGGTTTAGTAAACCCCACTGGATGCTTCGTGTATCCTACTTCCCTAAATGATATAATAGGCTGAAAGTTGGCCGCACCAGAGGATCCTGAGTTGCTGGGGTAAGGAAATAGATTGTTTTCCCTTCATTTTAGATTCAACTCATAATACTTGCTTCAATTGAAAGAATTAAAAAATCAAGAAGGAACCAAAATACCACCATGCAATAAGATATAGGATAAAGGCCAACATACCAGCAATCCCAGAGTTAGTTGAAACTGGAAGTGAATTCTCACTCCATGTTGGATAGAGTAGCTGCTGGCGAAGTGTTCCCAAGGCCATATATGGCCTCTGCGGAAGGAAAAACACTTGGCCATCTCTTCTATACCTCTTGTTTTGAAGATCATCATCTTTTGATAATTGTTGTGGTGAAGAATTTGTGCCTGATGAGAGAGATGTTTGACAACGAGTAGAATCTTTCCCATAAAATGTGATGTTCCCTTGCCCGCTAGTCCAGAGGCCAGCCAGAGCTCTTAAGAATGACGTCTTGCCACTTCCACTTGGTCCCGTAATCTATTAAATAAATAAACTAAAATGAACATTAAATCTATTTGTATGATGCAAATCAAAATTACCAGAGAAAGTCGCATACCAGTAGGTGATCCCCTTCATTGATCACGAAAGACAAGCCTTTAATAAGGATTGTTCCACTTCTTGGCGTTTGTAATGTCAAATTATAAACCTCCAGTAATTTTTGACACTCAGACTGAGGTATTGAACCATTACAATCAGAGGAAGATTGAACACAAAGGTCAGTATGATGAATGATAATCTCTTCAGAATCATCAGATTTCAAATCATTTGAGAAAGCAGCATCCAGAACGTCATCAAACTCACCTATACGCAAAATCTAATCTCAGAAGCAAGTACCATATCACTTTAAAAAATGCAATCATACAAAAAGGCTCACAGTGCACTCAAAGATATTGAAGAAAAACATATAAAAATCAAACATAAAGAGAAATTAATCAAGGCATTCAATGTAAACCACAGATAACGGCCAAACTCATGTTGCTCTACATATAATAGACATTTTTAATGATACAATATACCATCTTGAAAAAAAAAAAATCAAAACTATCAAGAATGAGTATCCCAAGAATGGTCTTAACCTCAGACTATCGAAACAAGATTATTGCTGTTATAGGACTTACCAAAAATTATTTATTTTCAATAAACAAGCCTCAAGATGCTATCATGCCCTAAGGGAATAATCTAGGGTCTTATATACATTGATCGGATTTCACTGGAAGATGCATAACATGTATAAAATGCTATTAAAACTGTCAGAACAAGAACGTCTACTGAAAAAAAAATGATTACAACTTTCTACTATTGAAACCTTAAAGAACATACATGCTTGGCATAAAAGGTAAAGCAACAACTGAAATTACAACTTATGAGCCTTTGTGAAATCCCATTACACGAGTTAATGTAGAAATATTTATGCCCATACAGGAATGTTCGCATGTCAAATAAGATAATCTATCACAAATGCATGACACTTTGCTTATGCAAATATGTTTGTTTTCTCAATCGTGGGAAAGTAGATAATGCAATGTGTCTTAGGGTCTAGGGATCATTAATGCAAATTTAGGATGAAATATACAAAATCAGAAATGATCGCAATTTGCAAAATCCTAACTTCTATTTAAAGTAAAGATTAATCTTTTTTAATTCAATATCAGAAAATATTTTTAATTAATTCCAAACAACAATCTAGAAGTCCCTAAAATTAAAAAATTGCATGAAATCTAACATGGAAACTGTTAAGCAATGAACCTTACCAAATCTCAATCACATGCATAAAACTAAACACAAAACAATTAGATCAAAAGGACTAAGGTTAATGTCTCTCAATTTTAAATTACAAATCTAATGTCAATATAAGGAGTATTCTCACAAAATGAGCGTCAACACTTACACCATACTAGAAAAATTCACATCCAATAGCACACACAAAATCCTCGAAGATGTACTCCAATATTGCAACTTTTGTCAACAAACAACAAATTTTATCCCAAAATAACAAAAAATAGTTTTTGTTGAAGTACTAAACAAGAATGAGAAAGCCATCAGCCGAAGGCATGCAATAAAAGGAAAACGAAAGGAAAACATAGTAAAAGAACAATAAATGGCACCTTCCAAAGGAGACAAAGCATATGAAGTTCTATATAAACCAAAAATAACTCACAAGGTAAAAAGAAGCATATGGAAAACAGCTAATCCACCGACTCCAAGCAATACTAAGCAAAAACCACTATCTAAGCAATAATACATACCCCAAAAAAGATGCATGCCATTATTTCATGGTTTGAGCATGTTTTAGATAATCTACATGTTTCAAATAAGAGCCTGCATGTCCAAGTGGATAATGACATCATAAATATTTTATACGCGTGTTAAAACTTATATAATTCTTTACATTTTATCATGATCATGATAACAATTTAAATATAAATTTATCATAAAGGTTCATTTTCTATCACGATATACATACAAGATATCATGAATTAATTCATGTATCCATCACATATCTAATGTTTTAACTCAGTCCATTCAAGTTCAAATCAACACATCTACGATTCATCATTGCTACGATGTGAACTGCTATTGTTTTTGCTTACCACTATTATCAGTATTTTTGTTTGCCATTGTTATCTCTATTATATCGTTATTTTTCCCACTAGTGCTTTTTGTAGCATTTATACGTACGTTATTGCACTCTATCCACTAAAGTACATGATCCACTAGGGTCTATTATTTCTCTTTACTGCCTAGATACTGCCTCTTCTATCTAGTGATTGCTAAAATCTTACTATCACCTCTTCTATCTGAAAATTGTAACAATTCAGCTAATGCATGTGGCTTGCAATTTTCATTTGTCAATTTCTACAGTGTTATCACTAGTAATTTTTGTTGTAAACGTTAATGGAAGCTTTGATGTTGCTAGAATTGACGATTTAGTGAAATTTGTTACATTCAAGAAAATTTTAACACACTAAGAAGATTCTAATTTTAGATCCTTCTAGGCTATAAATATAACATCTAAGTCATGTAAACTTTATAGGACATTGTGCATTGGAAAAAAAAATCTAATTCTCACCCATTCCTATGTGTACTTGTATATGTGGATTATTTGAGTGCTTGACAACATGCTCAAATTATTCAGAGTTGTGAACATGCTTGCTGTAGAAATTTTACTTCTAATCATAATTTTTGTAGAATTTTAGATTTTGGCAGTTATAAAATTATCTTTTGGAATGAAAGAAGTTTATTTATTATTTTTACAACAAACGAAGCAAACTTATGTTTAAATTAAGAGCTTTCCACTGATGGAATAAGATGTTTTTGTATGTTTTTAATATGTATCTCATCTTAAATTGCATTAGAAGCTGTAAACCATATATATATTTGATAGGAAACACTGGTAGATCTCAAGTATTTTCTATCAATCTTCGGAAAACAGCAAGAATTCTTCACAAAAGTTCGCACAAAACCACGAAATAGTAGATAATTTGTATTATTTGATGACAAGAAAACAGAAAATAGCAAGATACAATTTATCCTCAATTCGAGAGGAGGATTGATCTCTCCTAAATCTCTAGACGCCACTAGAGCCCAAAGAAAAACCTAATTCTAAGATATTTCAAATTTCAGCCAAATTCAAGATACCCAAACCCTAGGAAAACAAACTATTTAATGCATACAAATCAAAAGTAAATCCTTAAATCATCCCTACATTCAAATTTCCCTCCCAATCTCCTCAAAAAACCTTCCAAAATGGTCCCCTAAGCTTTGGCCGCCCGATCGGCCTACGCAACATGTGAAATTCTCCGCCTGTTCTCCGCCTGATCCGGTCCCGTGTGGAGATGCTGGACCGATCCAATGGACCGGTCTAACAATACTCCCCTCCCAAAGATTCACCTTGTCCTCAAGGTGGAAATATGCTCGTGTTCCCGTGGAGGTGGCCATCCTTGAGGTGACTGAAGAACTTTACCAAATTGTTGAATCAAGGGCAGAGCTGAAAGAGAAACATTCCCTCCCTCCTCCAGTCTGATCACCTCCAACCTGCATAGTCCCACCAGATAATCTTCCCCCACCTCTTGTAGGTCCCTAACTATGGTCTTAAGTGATATCATGGCTTTGGATAGCCCTGCATCTCCCCTTATAACCACCTTTCTCCCATCCAACATTAATTCCATCGTGAGTGCTCCCCAATTATCCTTGATTTCCCCCAAGGTTTGCAACCACTTCATCCCCAGGATGACATTAGTACTTTCTAACTCTAGTGGAAGAAAGTCCTCCCTTACTTGAATCCCCTGGATGGTCAATACCACTCCTCTACAGATCCCCTGGCTTTTCTCCACCTTCCTTGTACCCATCATCACCCCATAACAACCGGTGTCCACCAATTTCACTCCCAATTGGTCGACGACCTGAGTGGAAATGAAATTGTGGGTAGCTCCACTATCAATTAACACCACCACCATCCTGCCCTCTATCTCCCCCTTCACCTTCATGGTATGATTGGTAGTGAATCCTACCACTAAGTTCAGGGAAACATCGGCCAGATCCAAATGCAACTTCTCCTCTATCTTTTACTCCAACTCCCCCTTACCTCCCTCATCAGTTTCCTCGTCATCACAGACGGTGAGGACCTGAAGAGTTCGATCCTTGTATAGATGTCCTGGCGTATACTTCTCCTCGCACCTGAAACACAACCCCTTTGTCCTCTTCTCCTGCATCTCCTTCTCTGTCAACCTCTTGAAATTTTTCTCACTCCCTCCTCCTACTGTCTTCTCCTTAGTGGTCTCATTAATGTTGTCTGATGCAGCCCCCTTGGGTGCTGGAAGAGTGGTCGTCGTCCTGTAAGAGCCTCCTGAGCTGCTGTTCCTGACCACCTTCTCCAGATTCTTCTGATTTTCCATCAGCTGTGCTAACTTCATGGCCTCCCCCAAGTCACTAGGCATCAGAACTTTCACTTCCGCTCGAATCTCTGCCTTCAACCCCTTCATGAAGTTCCCCTCCAATACCGTATCTGATAATGGCTCAACCCTACTGGCTAGGTGCTCAAACTGCTCCAGGTAGTCTGCTATTGATCCCTCTTGTGCCAGAGCAAATAACTGCTCATAGAAATCTCCTCATTGGTTGGTTTATTATGCAGTCCTTGAATTCCCTCAAGTCCCTGATAAGTCTCCTCTGGTCTCTCCACTGCTATCATGACAGTGCATCCCCCTCCAAACATAAGCCTGTTGTTGTCAGCTTCTCCTCCTCCGTTAGCCCGTTAACGACAAAGTACCTCTCCACCTTATATATCCACCCATACGCATCCTCCCCCTCGAAGATAGGCATCTTCAACTTCCTCACCTTCTGATCTCCACCATTCCCTCTTATTCCTCCATAGCTTCCCCTCTCCCAAGTGCTCATCCCACCCCATGTCTCCCGATTTTCTCTTTCCCTACCATAACCCAAACCCCCTTCAAATTCCCCTCTTCTTCCTTCAAAATCAGCACCTCAATGACCATAATGTACCTCCCGGCGTTCCCAATCAGAACCCCTTTGTTCCGTCCCTCCATACTCATGCCTTTCCCCATACCTACCTCCTCTATCCTCCCTCTAGAAAGGCTCCAGAAAGGGTTTTCTTCTTTCTCCCTCCATGATTTCCACCTCGTCTTCCTCCCTACGAATTTCTCAATTGGTGTTTTTCTTTCCTCCTCTTTTTCCACGGAAGCCGCCGTTTGGTTTTGAATTTCCAACATTTTCTTCATTATGTCCAGGAGATCGGCTACTTGTCCTTCCATGGAGGAAATCCTTTCCTCCACCGTTCTCTTGATTTGGTTCATCTCCCCTTTAAGCTTTTCTTCTAGCACATCAACTTTTTTGGCCGCCATCTCGATCCGAACTTTTTGTAAATCCAAAAATTTCGGATTTGGATTACAAAAACAGCACTTCGTCTGTTACCAACCAAAAATCAGCCGCTGAAATTTGCCCAAAACAACCCAAGACTTGCTCTGATACCAATTTGATAGAAAACACTTGTAGATCTCAAGTATTTTCTACCGATCTTCAGAAAACAACGAGAATTCTTCACAAAAAGTCGGCACAAAATCACGAAAATAGTAGATAATTTATATTATTTGATGACAAAAAAACAAAAAATAGCAAGATACAATTGATCCTCAATTAGAGAGGAGGATCGATCTCTCCCAAATCTCTAGACGCCGCTAGAGCCCAAAGAAAAACCTAATTCTAAGATATCTCAAATTTCAGCCAAATTCAAGATACCCAAACCCTAGGAAAACAAACTATTTAATGAATACAAATCAAAAGGAAATCCCTAAACCATCCCTACATTCAAATTTCCCTCCCAATGTCCTCAAAAAACCTTCAAAAATGGTCCCCTAAGCTTCTCGCCCGATCGGCCTACGCAACAGGCGGAATTCTCCGCATGTTCTTCGCCTGAGCCGGTCCTGTGTGGACCGGTCTAACAATATTCTATGAGACATCCAGGATGAGAGTGTTGTTCAAACCGGTCTAACCCGATTAGAAGTCAAGTAACTTGTTGATTTTTTGCATTTGAGCTCTCTTGCATGTGTTTGAGAATGATTTGTGTGCATGAAAAAGGTGCATGTGTTTTAAAGTGGGATCCAGGGGTCTGAATGCCTGTTTGTGAAATCTGGAATTTTCCTCTAGAGTGCCATGACACTGTAACTGTGACGCCCGGACACTAGACCAATTTTTGCACTTAAAAATATTAAAATCTACTTATACACCCGATCCATTTTGTTTGAGGAGCCCCCTAATGAGAGAAACTCTGCTTTTGGTTGTTTTTAACCGTCGGCCCAGTTCTAAATATTGTTTGAATCGAGGTAGGTCATGTTTTGCCTGCAATAACCTTTAAAATTTAAAAGATAAGTTTTGACAAACAATTATCACACAAATTATTTCATGAGTAATTATAAATTTAAATCACAAGCCGTCTTCGTCATAACATGTATATTATATTGTTTTAATTACACTTATTTTTTCCTAATTTTTTTGGCACTCGTACAATTTCTTAAGAAATAGACACTTATAGGTACAAATATGATTTTCGGACAGTTAGGTTTCGGTTTTGTAAACTGATTTCACCATAATTTATAGACATGCTTAACTAATTTATAAATATTTTTTCATAAATTTTGAATCATCATATTTGAAGATATAAAAAGATTTTGGGCTAAACTTAAATAATTAGGATAATTATTATTTTAATATAATATCAAAATTTACTTAATTAAATATATTAAATGACATTTTAAAAGTCATTTCCCTATTCATTTCCATTAACATAAAGGCTAACAGAGAAAAAAAAGGAAAATAGAGAAAAAGGAGAGGAGGGAGAAATAAAAAGCTCAACTTTGGAGGTCATAGAGCTGTTTTTGTCAGTCAACCTAGTTCAAAATTTGTTCATCTCAAGGTAGGTCACACCACGCTTATCTCAATTTTCAAAAATACATAAATTTTATCGAATTTTTTGATTAAATTTATATTTCTGCTACTAAAAAATATGAATAACTTTGCATTAGTAAAACTTTTATTGTGTAACTTTTTATATATTATAAAAATTAAGCTTGTAAATATTTTGAATATTTTCTGAAAATTTTATACTATGGATGTTGAAATTTATACATTTTTTATTGAATAGGAAATAATTTCGGACTCTGAAAAATAATATTGTAATATAATTAAACTCTTAAAATAATGTCATGCACGATCTCTGATAATTTAATTATTTATTGAAAATGTACATTTTTATTTAGAAGGATTTTTTGTTGTCTACCGTCATAAAAAATTGTGCAATTATGAAATGTCCTCAATTATATTTTAAATGTTGCAATGTGATGAAATATATGTTTAAATGATTGAATTAGGTATTTAGGTGATATTAAACAGTTTTGATATGAAAAATATATGTTGGGAGATATAAGGGGCTAAAATCCTTTTATATTTTATCTGTGACCGAAAATCTGAATATGAAAAACTGTGAAAAATCTATTTGTTGGCGTTATGAGGGGTCAAAATCATTTGAGATTTTGTTTGAAAGAGTGAAAATTATGTTATGAGCCATAAGGGGCCATAATACTTTGAGATTTTATCTGGGATCGGGAATGGAGATCTGAAATGAACTATTTTGTGATATGAATTTCAGTTTTAATTATCTGCTTAGTATTATTATTTGAATCTGGATAACTAATATGTTTTTATTACTCTGCTAAGTATAGTGATTTATTGTTGCTTTAATTACATTTAAATATTTTGAAAATTTTTAATAAAAGAAATAACTTGAAAATTTAGATCGGTATTTATGGTCTGTTGAGTTGTAACAGCTCGCAACGATTTTGCTTCTAGTTTTCAGAATCTAGGAAAGAGGAGTATGTTGATTAGCAATTCATAATATGATTTGAGTTTATAAGTGTTTCTCTATTTTGATTTTTGTATATTTATGACTAATTTTTAGATGTTTTGCTCTAATTTATTTTCTATAATGATATACTGTAGTGTAAATTACGTATATACATGTTAATTAAAGAAAAGAAATCTTGTGAATGAGTTTATTTGCAATACTCTGGATGTTTATAGCAGCTCAGTAGTCTATAATTTATTTTAAAGTTTAAATTGTAAGAGAATTCTAAAATATTTTCAAAACTAAAACTTGGGATAAGCCTGTCACAACTCAACACTATAGTACATGTCCCATCAGTGGGACTTGTCGGGTTGGGTTGTGACATCAATTATCTCAATTTTTAATAATTCAAAGTTTTATGGATTTTTTGGATCGAAATTATAATTTGGTTTTAGAATAATGTGATTTTCTCGAATTTTGGTAACTTTCATCCGCGTAACCTTGATATGTTATCGGTACGGCTGTTCTTGTCGTTTTGAGTATTATAAATATTCGAGATTTTTCATCAGGTGATTTTAAAAAGGAGTATTTTTTATCAATTCAAAAATATGTTTTGACATGTAATAATAGTTCTTTCGTTCAGTAAAAACTTCATAATATTATTATACATGATCTCCGATAATTTTATTATTATATGATAATATGAATTTCTGCTCAGTAGGCTTTTTTTTCCTTACCGTTAAGACATTTTGGCAAGTTTTGAATTTAGTTCAATCATACTTTACTCACTGCAATGCATTTAAATATCATCAAGTATTTATCCCATCACGTGAGATATTCTCACTAGAAATTTATAAGATGTTGTACCTTCATGTACGTTTTTTTGCTGATGATATTCTTCCTGTTAATAAGACTATAGAGGGAGTTGAAGTTAAACTCGCATTAGGGAGGTCAACCTTAGAGTCTAAAGGTTTTCGTTCAAGTAGATCTAAAACCAAATATATTGTGTAATTTTAAGAGTAATAGATCTAGTGTGGGGATTATACGTTGGGTGATCAAGTCATTAATAAGAGTACATACAACAACAACAACAACAACAACATCAAGCCTTTATCCTAAGAGTACATGTTTTAGATATTTTGGGTCTATTGTTCAGAGTGATCGTGAAATAGATGGAGATATTATTAGTAGAATTCAAGTTGGATGGTTCAAGTGGAGGAATGCATCAGGCTTTTATGTGATAGGAAAGTCCCCCTCAAGCTCAAGGGAAAATTCTATAAGATGGTGTTAAGACCTGCAATGCTTTATGGTGCAGAATGTTGTCCATTAAAAGAGAAGCATAATATTAAGTTAAATGTTGCAGAGATAAGGATGCTAAAATGGATGAGTGGCTTCACTCTTAGAGGCAGGATATAAAACGAGCATATACGTGAAAAGGTTGATGTAGCTCCAGTGGAAGATTAGATTAGAGAAAGTCGCTTTAGAAGGTTGGTCGCATAAAACGGCGATCTTTTGATGACCCGATTAGGAGAGTAGATGTATTAGATTTGGTTTATGTTAAGAAAGGTAGAGGTAGAACTAAAAATACTTGGCTAGAAAATATTAGAAATGTACTTTTTATTAAATTTAAATGAGAATTTGACTCTTAACAGGACACAATGAAGAAAAATGATTCTTGTAATCAACCGCATGTAGTGGGATAAAAGCTTGATGTTGTTGGAGAGACCTTAATCATGGACAAAAAGACTCCATCTTGAGCCAAAGACCTTCATCAAATCACAATCCGCCAAACATGATTGAATTGTTGAGAGTCTTTACATCTATTTGTGTCTACTATTCTTTACTCAAGGTCTTAAAGCATATTGGCATGCCACATGAGTAGATTGGCAAGTCTCGACAAGACTAAAACATCACACATCTTGGTTCTCCGAATGTCAAAATTCTTTGACCTATCGAACTTCTTTATCTCAAACTTCTTGGCCATCAATCTAGAACAACGCTTTGATAAAAAAATATTATGACAAGGTGTGTCAAAAAAATATGACTGAAAAAGCGTTAACAGGATCAAAATTCTTACTACCTAATCTCAACCATCAACAACTATTCATACAATTCATGATTATGCTCGCAGTAGTGTCTGGCTATAGGACCATTAATAAAAAGTGATAGATTTTATACCTAAAACATGAGGATTAATGGATAGTTCATGCAAATTCATACATTGATTTCGACCGTCAATACTCTTGTCATAAATATGGAAATGCATGTTTAACCCCTCTTTAAAATCAGCATTCGGCCATAATGTTACCAGTGACAAAAGTACAAAATGAGACAACTTATTATCTATCATTAAAAAAAAACATAAATAAATACCTAGACGATCAATTATGGCTGAGAAGGCACTTATTGATTGAAATTGGTAAACAATCAAGGAGAAATCGCTTAATATATGATTGAAAGCAGAAACAGATTGGTTGATAACCCCAAACTCAATTTTGCCAGAGAAGTACATAGGGGCAACTACAGCAGCCGGAAGAATCTGAATCAAATACCGGTATCCACTTGTGAAAAACTCAAGATTCCGAGAAGAAATCAACAGTTGCTGCAAAAAAAAAGAAAGGAGAACATGTGCACAAAAAAGTGAGCCCCATTGGTCAGAGGAAAATAAGTAGAGCAAAGTGAACAATTGATAGGAGAAAAAGTGTGAACACATGAAGCTAAAACAGTACTTCAAATTATTAAGGATAGTATTTTAAAGCTTGGTTAATCTTATATGACAGTTGTCCAATACATCTGATGGAATTATGGAACTTTTTTCTTTGCAACAAATTTGGAGCAAGATAGACAACACGCAGCCAATTGATAATATCACATGAAACAACTTCTAAAAAATTTTAAACTTACCAGCTCGAGCAACATATAGGAAGAATAGTACCTATACAGTAGCACTCTCATGAACGAGGAAACAATCCAAGTTCCACAGTTAGTGACATTCAGAGATGATTTCTAAAAAGATGGTCAAGTATAGAAACTATAACCAAGTAACAATAAGGAAAAAGAAAAATAAACTGGGTTTGAAGTGGCTTAATCAATTAAGGGTAGCAAACACAGAAAACAAAAATCTTAAGTAAAAATCATTAAACAACAATTCTAACTGATAGCTACATGCGTTTGCATACTAATTGTAGTTTAAGATTTTGCTAAATTAAAAAAACTCAATGTTACCTATTTACTGTTACTCAAATGCGAAGAGAACTTACACTTAGATTTTCAAAAGCCCTCTTGAAACGGTCTAACAGAAGCTGCTTTTCATTTTTTTCACCACCATAAAATGCAATTGACTCAGCATTTTCTCGAACTCTCACTAGTGCATAACGAAAATCAGCTTCTTTCTTCTCTTGCATGAAGTTCAAGTTTACTAAACCCTGAAAATGCACTCGAAACAGTTGGTCTTAGGCTGTAAATGTAGCATATCTACTTGCATATATTAGAGTAGTTACCTTTCCAAGAAACACACTAACAGCAGTACCCCCAAGTGAATAAACAATAAGAACTACAAATAAGGGAGGGTAGATTCCATACAAGATATTACTGAAAGATATCAAGTCAACAGCTGCATTAAAGACAGTCAATGAAAATGCAAGAGCTGTTCCAGTGAAGGAGCTTAGATCGTCAACAATGCGCTGGTCAGGGTTGTCAATTATGGATTGAGACTGAATTTTGTAAAATGTACGATTCTTTAGGTAACGTTCCAAGTAGTAGCTTGTCATCCAAGATCTCCACCTTAGAGAAAGGGTATCTTTTGCATAATCTCTCAGGACAAAGATCTGCAAAGCGTTATAGTATAATCAGACAAAAATTAGTAAGTGAACGGATAGAATAATAAGGATGAAGCTGGTCAAAATCTCATGAAATAAAACTGTGAAATGACTGAAACCAATTATTAACATGTAAAAAACACAAGGAAAAATATAAATGTAGATAAGATTTATATAAGATTTATAAATGCCAGGAATCACGACTGCTCCAATTGATTAGCAAAACCAATAACCTATAATAAAAACTGTTTTTGTTCTGGATTTAGAACAAAAACAATAAATTTAAATTCAACGCATGACACCTTAAACACGTAAAAAACAAATCTGAAAACTTTTGAAATTTTCTGCATCATAGGTAAAACAATGCTTGTTTATGTCTCTTTGAATAATATTTAAACAGTAGAACTAAATACTTACACAACAAGCTCAAGAAATGATTAAAATAAGAATGCATGAATAAAATAAGGATGTATGCAGAAATGTTCAAATACTTTGTTAGGTACAGATAGCTTCCACAGCTCATCTGAGTAGAGTAAAGTGCACTGCACCATTTTCGAGCTTAACATAATGGATGACTTCTAGAAATGGATCTATTAAAGGAACTTATGAAGCTACAAGTTCTACACTCACTTGTCAGTCTGAAAGGAAACTTGGAACCATAAATTTTGGATTGAATAGAATACAGAGCAATACCTACAAGGGTGCAGCAATATGCTCACCGGAATCCCTCCAGCAAAAGCTCCCAAGTAGTAAAGAAGTTGCTTTGTAAATTGTTCTTGGTCCTTATCTTACAAAAACAAGCAAAGGAGAAGGAGATGTTAATCAATTAAGCTTTTACTATAGCAACTAAGACTTCTGAGTAAAGAAGAATCTACATACTAGCAAGCGCATTGTAGAAGTCCCGACCAAGAAAATTAAACCCAACGCTAATTCCTGTAGTTCCTAAGGTGAGAGCAAAAACAGCAGCAAGCTTTAACCTGGCCTGGATTTTATCTTCTGATGACCAGTATGGGGAAGCTACCTTCCAAAATCTTCTGAAAAGTGTCTCAATGTTTGGAACCGCTCTTTGATCATCCTGGAGCACAATTTGAGAAACAATAAGCAGCTATTTTAGAAGAAACATGCCAAAGAAGACAAAAAGTTGAGTATAAAACCAAACAGGATGGAGATTTAAATGAACTCAACAAGAACATCAAGTTGTCTTAGCTATTATTCTTGACCAATGGAAAGAAAAATCAGCTCCAGAGAAAACAGGATTTAATGAAAACTTATTTCCAGAAATGCAAAGAAATTACATCAAGTTAGTAAAGTTACTCATACCTAGCAACGGCTAAAGCAAAAGATGAAACACTAGAGCACCAAAAATGCATCAAAGGAAACAACTATTGCAAGTTAAACTTCTAATACTTCAAAAAGAAGCATGATACAATCAGAAAATCCTTCTATTTTGCAAGAAACCATCCTTAGTTGAACAAATCAGCGAATCAACGACAGTGATAGATCTAGCAGGCGAATCACAGAACGATTGGCACTCTAATCATTGAATCGGGTTCGAAATAAAGCATAAAGGAGGAAGAAAAAAACTCCATCTCACTTTATCTTGTTCTCCTTCTCGAGCTCTATATATATATATGTTATACTTTATTATAGTGAATATTAGTATAAAAATATTTAAAATTTTGAGGGTTATATAAAAAATATAAAAATTTATGTGTTAAAAATGTAAAGATATTAAAATTTTATGACATGTATGTAAATGTCCTAGGCATGATTGATGCGAATGTTAACAAGACGCAACAGCCTGACGCCATTTGTATAAAATGATTCTTAATTTGGAGGCAATCTTTGTAATGACACATGTACGCTAAAAGCCTCAACATGCATAGATATATCAAATATCTTAGAAGGATAAATGCCTTAAAAGACACATGTACGTTAAAAACCTTATAAAACTAAAAACTTCAAAAGGTATAGATACTTCAAATATCTCATAAAGCTAAAAGCTTTAGAAGAAGTACATTATTATTCTCTAAAAATTTCATAAGGCTAAAAGGTGCATAATGAATAAAATTCTATAAAGTAGTTGCTATAACTAGGGGTAATATATCAAATTATATCTAAAAATACATAAATAATTAGGTTTCTCCTGGAGGATAAATTCATAAATATTTTTACAAGAGGATGGAACATTCATTAGTTCAAACAAATAACAAGCTCATAAAAACATCTCAAAGCCATATACAATGTTACTATATTTACATGATTATATTCAAGTATATATTCTTCATCACCTAAAGTTGAATTGTAGGAAGTGAAGTGTTCTCATCAATGTCATATCGTACACTGCGGTGAATCCCGATGAAGGAGTATATGCCTGATCAGACCTTTTTGGGGCAATAATTAACACATCAATCAGCAAATGAAATTTCTTGCAAATTATAGTCAAACCATTATGCCTCCACTTAATTGGCAATATAAGTGTGTCATTTGGCTGTGGCGACCGACATAATTTATGACCCCTCCATCAAGTTTCTTGTTGTCTGCCTTGTTAGCTTGCACATCTACACATCAATTGATCGTCGCTATCAATTAACTATTCGAGTGCAGACATTGCAAATATCACCTAACCACTTATGCTAGGCTTTCATTGACGTATTGTCTGACTCCTTGTGCCAAATGATTGACTTATGATCGTTGAATCTCATCCCGACCATCAACCATCATCAAAATTTCATCCGTCCACTAACTATCACCGAGTCTCCTCGCGGGTGCTACTACCACTACATCTCTTTGGACCATTATTTTGTATAAGAGACAATTGAACTTTTTTTAATAATTTGAGGGGAGTTTGATCTTTCATCTAAATTTCTTCTACACAATGGGGAGGGGTGGATCTTGATAGATGATGACGTCTATCCAATAAAGTGTAATGTCTCTAATGTAAGAAGAAGTGTGTGAGAGATTGTGAGGAAAGGCAAGATCTACTCCTACTCAAAGAGGGGAAATATAGCTTAATAGGGGATGTCGTCTATCCACGATAGTGGAAAACATTTCATGTAAGAAGAAGTGAGGAAGAAAAAGAGAATAAGATAGATTGGAGTACAAAAGTTGTGCTCTTCCCCCAGCCATAAGGGGGTATTTATAGCTGAAAAGAGAGGGATAGATGAAAATAATATTTTAAAATTTTATAGATAAAAAAAAATAAAAATTATATTTTTAGAAAATGTTAAAAGTAAAAAATTAATTAATTTTGTAAATATAATTAAATAAAACTATCATTAAAAAAATTTTTTAAATTAAAATTATATTTTTAGAAAAGGTTAAAAGTAAAAAATTAATTAATTTTGTAAATATAATTAAATAAAACTATAAAAAAAAAACTCAAACGAGGCAGTTAAAGGCTATCGCCCTAAACGAGTGGCCTTTAAAAAAATCAAAAGGGGACACTATATGTGGCCCCATCTGCAAGCAATGCACACACTCACCCACGCGCGAGTTGCCTGCTGGTGGCTGTTTTGCAGCCAAGTCGCATCCGGGCCCTTTTTTTTCCTAGAGAGTCCAATTTTAATGTTTTTTGTTTCCCAAAATTATTTTGTAGATCATGGACTTAATTTTGATACTTTTAGGGTCAAAATAGCTTCTATAATTAATTTATAGCTATTTTAAATATTTTGAAGCTTAATTTTATAATATTTTTTGCTCCAATCAACATGCCAACTTTAATGAACAATTACATTATGATCAAGAATATTTTACTTGATTTATGGCCATAAGGGGAGATCCACATTAATGTCCAAGAGGTGGTCGCGCCTAAAAAATTATTATTTTTTGTCACAAGCAGCTTGAAAGGTTCAGACACATATTTTCAGACTCCATAAGCTTTGACATCAAAAAAATGGATGACAGTTGATATATCACCAATAAATTATATTAATCCAGGATGAATCTTGATGCAAAAATGAGTTAGAAGCTTACAAAATTAAATTCTAGATCATCCAAACTTTGATTCTAGCAAGCTTGTAGCCACATCAAACATCTTAGGAAGATGAACCCAATGACATCAAATTCAGCCTAATTTGAACCAAAATGAGCCAAAATGAAAGGATCAGAATATTCTTGGAAGCTTCCAAATTTCAATTGGATGACCAAATGATATCTGAATATGACATGCTTATAGTTGAATCGAGTGGCTCGATGAGACAAATCTAACGAGCACTAAATCACTAAATTCCAACATCCTGAAGAGATAAATATTTAAAGAACGCTTTGCTAACTACGGTCCCTTTGACCAGCGTCACTCGATTACGGTCCTTCCGACCTCCGCTGCCTACCGACTATGGTCCATTCGTCTATCTTTGCCTAGCTGTGATCATTCCAATCTATGTCGTCTGCCGACTATGGTTCTTATGGCCATCATCATCTTACCACGATCATGCCAACCAAACAAGCACGCCAGCACTCTCTTGAGAACCACTATCATTGTCACGACCCAACCCGACCGGGACGAATCCCGCTCGCATCGGGCCGCGACAGAGCCAACAAATCCAGGATATGGCTTTGGAATTTTCTTCAAAACTTTCTTCCAAATATAACACATATAGAAAAACACAGAGCTACTAAAAATATCCAAATGCAGCGCAGTTCATCTATCTTTTCTTTCACCAAAATAATCATATACAGATACAGTACATGACTTACGAATAGAAAGAACAGAATAAATGAGCCATGACTGTATAAAAATCAAAAGTACAAAATACATAATCACAGATCAGACTCTGAACCGCTAATCCACAACTTCCTTCCCTTTCCCAGAACCTGAAAATCACGTAGAAAATAAGGATGAGCTAACAGCTCAGCAAGACATCAATCACCAATCAAAATTGTCAGAAACGCACATCAGAAAAGCCGTACGAAAATCATAAACAGATGCTTATTCAATCATAAATCACAACAAATACAGAAAACTAAGTCATGTCGAATCAGTGTTCAGTACAGATATCATAAAGTTTTCAAGTCACAGAGCAGACAGAATCGTACGGAATAACCCGAATCGTACATATATCAGATGATTCATAAAACAAATCAGATAAGTCACATAACAAATTTCAGATATCAAACATCATATTCTAGATAATATATCACATATCAGATTTCAGATTCCCAGACCCTTACAGAATCTCGACGGATTCTGACCCCTTATGTCTCCATTTCCTGACACTTACAGAATCTCAACGGATTCTGGCCCCTTATAGCCCCTTTTGATAGCACACAAACACTTTAAATATTCAAATCATCTTATTTCAGAAATTTCAGAAATCGTACAAAAATTCAGCGGCATAACGACAGTATACGGAATTTACACAAAACTCACAGATTCAGAAAGTTACCAAATTACCACAGAACATTCACAACAACATTATAAGACTTTCATTGTACTGACAAAATATTTTTCAACATCCTGATAATTTGAAGTTCACTTAAAACACTGCAGAATCCAAAATATTTGATAAAAATCTTTCAGAAAATACTCAAAACGTGCATAATTATCATCTCAAAGACATACTAAAAGTTACGCGGTAAAACCTTTGTCAAAAGAAAATAATACCCAAAATTCGCTAAAGGAAACAAAATTCAAAACAGAAAACTCGTCAAAATCCTCGTTTCTAAAAATTGAGAAAGGCGGAATGTGCCTTACCTCGAGTCGGTCAACTTCTTTAACTACAGTAACGGACGAAAACGGACCGAAGTCGCCCAAAAATCACTTTTTCTTCTTTTTCCTTCGATTTTCTCTATCGTGGGCTTTTCTCTATCTTCAAAATATCTCATTTCTATATATATCCAGACGGATCGTCCCGGACGATCGAAACTTCGTCCCGGGACGATTCGGCTCTGGACGAATTTCGTCCAGACGAGATTAATTAACGTCCCTGGATGATTTGGCTCTATAAAATTTTCGTCCAGACGATCCAAATTTCATCCATACGAACCATGCAGCCAGAAATATTTCCCGCACAACCTGTACAAATCGTCCCGGGACGATCCAACTTCGTCCCGGACGATCCTGGGAGAAAAATGGCCTTTACAATCATGTCATTCTCCAGCTATGTAATGTGTTTCATTCAACATATATTTGCTATATTGAGCCAACATCTTCTCCAAGGGAAGGATATCATATGTAATCAACTATTAATATTAATGGAATCGTTTCAACTAGGCAAGGCGTCGCGGGCATTCCTCTTTTCAGGGTTTTCTATATAAAAATTATGATATCTCTTATGATTGGTACACCTCTTTATTATATCTAATTGTGTACTTGACCTTCATACAAAACTAGGTTATCAGAGTAAGTATATTAAGATCATGCATAGTATTTATACCTTCATGCCTATTCAAGTACTTTAAACCATCCATTATTGGTGATAGAAACCCTATGGCTATATGCATTGGAAAAATCACTTACTTTGTAAGTTAAAAGGTAGAATTATTATCTGCTTATGGCTTGATTATTAAGGTTTCATTTGGGACAGCTTTCTTACTGCTTTTTAAAGCAGTTTTTTAGTATAAAAATTAATTTTTTTTGTACTAGAAAGCGACTTTAAGAAGCAGTAAGAAAGCCGTCACAAACGAAGCCTAAGTCATGATACACAACCTGTACAAATCGTCCCGGGACGATCCAACTTCGTCCCGGACGATCCTGGGAGAAAAATGGCCTTTACAATCTCCCAACTTCAGAAAAATGTCGTCCTCGACATTATCAATCCAAAACTTAGTCAAAACAGATACAGATACGACTGTCTCATGTCCGACTCCTTCTCCCAAGTCGCTTCGCGTGCTGTTCGGTGCTTCCACTGAACTTTAACCATATGAATCTGTTTACTTCTTAACTTACAAACATCGTAAGCCAAAATCAACTCAGGTTCTTCTTTGTACTGCAGATTCTCCTGAATCTCAGCCTCATCAGCAGAAAACTTCTTTTCAGAATCAGATATCCACATTCTCAAAGTAGATACGTGAAAAACATTATGCACATCAGACATCTGATCAGATAGTAACAATTTGTAGGCAGACTTACCAATCCTTTCAAGGATTTCAAAAGGTCCAACATACCTTGGACTGAGCGTACTCACTCTTCCAAATCTGCTGACTCCTTTCATCGGACTGACTTTGACATACACAAAGTCATCAATTTAAAATTCCACAAATCTGTGCTTCTGATTGTAATACTTCTGTTGTCTATCTTGTGCATCTTTCAATCTTTCTTTAATCAAGTTAATTTTCTTAACAGTTTCATCCACAAATGTAGCACCCATTTCTTGTCTATCTCTTACCTCAATCAGAGTCAAAGGAGTTCTACACTTCCGTCCATACAAAGCTTCATAAGGTATCATACCAATACTAGACTGAAAACTGTTATTGTGGGTCTCCGAAAGGGTTCCGGTCGTGTGGTTCGAATGCAAAGGGTACGATCACACTATCCCGTAGGACAAAATGGTCGTAGGCCTTTACACTCGGCACAAGCAGGCCGATGGAAGAGCAGATGGAGTTATAGATACGATTAGCCATGGAGGATAGCGGCTTTCACCTACCAACCTCGATGGATAATAATATCTATAACCCAAAAGTTCACGAGATTTCCCCTATTCGATACATCAGCATCGAATAGGGTTTATTTGATTGTGGGGATCGATTTCCTACGGGCGCAAGCCCCCGTAGTTAATTACATCCTAAGCCTTGACTTAGGAAAACTCTCAATTAAGGATGTTAAATTATCTTCTCAATTGGGTTTAGTGCAAAGGTGTTTCTAGGCTTTCCTAATCAAAGGGAAAGAAGGTCCCAACTTGGTTCAATCAATCACACAGGGTTCAGTCAACATTCGGCCAGCTAGAAGAAGTGGAAACTGGAGAAAAAGGAAGGACAACGCATCTCAGACATGCACGAGAGAAAGAGGGAGGTGGCGTCATCTGTGTGACGCGGATGGGTAGGATTTATAGTCTCCGAAAGAATGGAGAACTTACCCACCAATAAGGTGTATATGGGTACACTCGTACCACTCACCTTTAGACCCTGAATCTATAAAAGATGTAGTGTTGTACACACAACACTAACATCTACGACCTAACTAATGCAGTCCTGGACTTATTCCTTGCCTGACAAAGGAAGCCAGCTAAAATCCTAAGCACAACCAACCGTCCTATATGTATGCAAGATGGGAAGGGTCTATCTTAAGGATTCAAGGATTAATAGTTCAAAAGACTTAAATCAACGACTCTACAATATGCAGACGAATAGACCTATCGTTGTATGATGGCATGAAAAGATGCATAAATAAGAGATGTCCTTAGATCCACTAATGCAATGCATGTATGTATATAAAGTGCATTGTGGAGAAAAGTGTGTAAGAACGTATGCATGACATCCAGAGTACAGAAAAAGTAAATAAACACACCTTAAGGGTACCCTCCAGGCAAGGTACCTGCACAGAAAAGCATTCAAACAGTGCCCACTGGCACAAATAGGTGGCCTACTCTACATGCCTAAATGACCCTAATGGTATCTAAGGCTCATAGAAAAAAAAAAGAAAAAAAAGGGGAGGGTATCGTACCCAAAACCGGAAAAGGCCAAAATCCTAGCAGAAAAACCACGATGCCCACTTCGTGTGGGAAAACAACGATGCCAACCGGCATAATAGGTGGCCTACTCTACAGGCCTAAATGACCCTAATGGTCTCTAGGGCTCACAGAAGGGGGCAAGCTTTGACCTATAGGGCCAAAGCTTCGTTAGTGAACTACCCTAAGGCCAGCTACCTAAACATGCTAGAATACCTATCAACAAATCGTGTGTGATGTGTAGCAATTCGATATATGACTAAAAATTTACTTTACAAGTTGCAGAAATTATACCTGATTGTGGCGCTGTCACTTACAAGCTTATAAGCAATGCTCCCCGATTGTGGCGCTGCCACTTAAAAGCTCTAAGCAAGTGAATTACTCCAATGTACCACGTAAGACAAGTGAAAGAAAAATACACAAATGAGCGTAGATGCCATTCAGAAAAGAATGCAGGTAAATAACAAAATTATAATTAACAAGAAATTTTAAATTAGCATTTATCAAGCATGTGCATATAATAAACATTAAATCAACAGAAGAAAATGTCAGACTATCCTAAGACTAGGAGTCGTGCCCTAACCAAGCCAATCTAAGGTGTATGTAGGCTATGCAGTTTTGGATAGGTCCTATGTAGGATGATTTAGTTGAAATTGTTTGTATTTGATTTGTTAAATGGCAAAAGAGAGATTTTAATTGAAGTTGAAATATTAGTAATTTCGGATTGATTTTAGAGATTTTGTTTTAAGATTTGATTGATTATTTTGTTGGTTGTAAATTAAAAGAAAAGGTAGATTAAATGATTTATTATCAATTAAGATTTGATTTAAGCCAGTTAAGAAATTAATTTTAAATTTTAACACCCCATTGGATCCATTCGTGGCGTTGTGCCACCAGGCTCGAGGAACCAGGCCTCCTTAGGACACTTAGCCCCGCAGCTCAGAGTATTCCATCCAATAAACTTCACTTCTGGAGTGGTTGTTATGTATTAAGGGGTTTGTTGATTGATTTTATAAGGTTAATCTAAGGTTTGATCTTTAAGAGTATTTTAATCCTAATGAATTTAGTTTGTAATTTAATCCCTAATAAAATCTACATCTTTTAGATTTTAGATTGGTTAAGGATTAATTATTAGATTAGTTAAAATTGGTTTAAGTTTATGATTTGGATTTATAGTTTAATGATTACGAATATTAACAATAACTTGATTAAGAATTAAATATTTTAACATATTCTAAGAGTTAGGTTATAAATGGTTGGTTGATTATTAATGGATTAAAGAAAGAAAAGGCTAAACCTAGGAAGACGTGTCGCTAAGTTTAGTTTTAATGTCTCTATCCTATAAGGAGAATGCACCCTAAGTCTATATTTTCTAAGACTCGGTCTTTAATTTTTGTCCTTATGTGTCACTAAGGTTGTGGGGATAAAAGGAGGTTTTGTTTTCTAACCCTTAGGATTTTCGTACGAGTGTCACTAGGTTTAGGAATTTATGCATGAAAGTATGATAATAAATAGCAATGCAGTAGAAAGAAAAGAATGAAAATTACAAATAAAAGGGATGTAGGCATTGTTGTTTTGGACACACTTCTTTAAAGACAAGTGTATCCTAAAGCAATATTAACAATGCCCTTTAATGTCCCCACAATCCAAATGAGGCACTTGATATATGACTCAACCCAAACAACTTAACTACCCTCTAAACAAAGCCCAAAATAACCAAAGGAAACAAATTCCTAAGGCTAAGCCTAAAGCCAAACTCTCTTTTGTTTTATATTTATCCAAAATCCTATATTTTTAGAAGTTAACCTTAGAGAAAGCTAACTTAAGTGAGGATTACCTACTCCAAGAAGACACTAAAGGCTTTCCAACACAAAGTTCCTTAATATCTCAAACTCCAAGATCCATTTTGTAGGAAGAAACACTAAGGGAATTTAACCCAAAATTACCTAAAGCTTTAAACCCCAAAATGCATCTTTAGACATAACCACTAAAAGAATTTAATCTGAATAGGAAAGCACTAACTACCCCCCCAAAAGACACTAAGAGATCCTACTACACTAATCCAATCATAAGATTATACCTCTCAAAATAACTTGCAAGGACCTCTAGATGAACTACTACGCAAAACTTCCCCAAAAGTTATTTACCCAAAATCTCTTTTTCTTTCATTTTGTTTTAACACAAAAATCCTACAAAAATCCTATATCAAAATCCCTTCTTTTGACACAGAATTCTACCAAAACAACCAAAAATCAAGTGCCTCTTCTTTTCATTTGGAGTGGGGTAGAAAAACCCAAAGCTTTCCAACGAGAAGGTTTTATAAAAACCCCTCATTGTAGAGCCCTCATCATAAAACATTCGCAAAAAAAACTTTCGATAAAACTTCTCGATGTAAAACAATTCACAAAACCTTAAAAAAATGCTCCTAACCATAGAACGATTCGCCAAAATCTTTCAATATAAAACAATTCGCATAAAGCCTCTCGATGCGAAATGATCAACGAAACCTTCTAACATGAAATCAAATATAAAACAATCTTACAACATCTTTCATTTTTTTCTGAAGATCACTCATGGAATCTTGGCACAAAGCTACTTATAAATCCCTCTAAGCATGAAGCCAATAACAAATCTCCTAAATATAAAGCAAATCATAAAGTTCTTCTATCATAAAGCAACGCATATATTTGATGTTGGCTCAATGCTTCTAAGAAAAACAATGATGAGAGAAGGGATTGATGCAATTTATTCTTCCTATGCTTAAAAGAAAAGAATTCTGACCATATGGATAGCCATGTATAAAGATTTTACCACATAATGCATTAAGATCGTTTCAGAGACATGCCATCCTGTATTAAAACCATATACCTCCCTTCTTTAAATTAATGTCAATATAGAACATGAATGAAATTTCCAACAAATTTACCAAGCTTATTTCTAATGCCAAATTCATAACCACAACTTGCAAAAGGATGTGAAATCATCATGCTAATAAGAAGAAGGAGAACAACCTTGCCTCACCTAACGAATCATAATTTAGTGGCTTAAGAACTTTAAGAAAGAAAACAATATCATATACTTTGCTTGTTGCAACCAACTACAACTCGAGAAATCTAGAGTCATCATACTTCGTATCAACCAACAGGACAACTAATGCATTTGATATTGAAACTCAAAACTCATAGGAAAAGAGATTTGATGCCACTTCTCTAACCGTTAGAAGAAAAGCTGCAATAGCATGAGTAATACCGTATCAAATTCACAAAAATACACGATAATTTAATTCTAAACATGTGTGGGCTATGTAAACATTTGCTAACCATAGATATAAGCATTTTTACTTATCATATGATTTAGGAAAAACATGAAATTTCTTCCAACAAACTCTCATAATGATGCCAACGGATAGTGTATAAGCGAAATAGCAAAAATGTAAAAAGTTCTAATTCAAGTCTTCCCACATATGATTCTTACAACAAGACGTTCTAACATAATCCCAAGTCATCCCTACTAAAGTATTGAAACAAACTCCACGTGTAACATGAATG